ATAAAAATTTACCGGAAATAATTAACTCGCTCTCATTTGGACGTGATGGGCCACCGACCATCAATCCTGAAGAAAGCAATGCACTACTGAAATTGATCACAAATAAATTAGATACTGAAATGTCTTTCTGTGATGGATTCCGAGAACTCACCACCAGAATTTCGAAACAAGAAGTAGACGTCGACCTCCTCACTGAAATAATAGCACCAATCTCCAGATATAACAAAATCAAACCCCCTGAACACGATACAAAAGACCAGAAAAACATCAGTGAGCCGGACCACAGGAATCTCAAGAAACCGGGAAAAGGCTGTAGGCGTTACGTTAAGCGAAACAAGAGGCAAGGAATGAAGTCGTTAAACAAATCTCCCGACTCTATCGAAATAGAGGGAAATAAAAAAAGTACAGACGGAAACGGAACTGAGAACCGAGACGTTTTACTGGAATACTTTTAGGCATGGAACATCTAAATATCTCCTACTCAGATAGATGCCAGCTAACTAACCTAAACTTTTTATGAGTTTGAAGACTAGAAGCAGGCTTCTGTCTCCTCTTTCGCATTAATAATAATTCAAATCTTCCTTGGATTTCAGCACTTACCTCTAGCAGCCGCTCCTAAAATCTTTGCAATTCCTCCTTTATTATACCTCCTCCCGCTTCCTCCACATCTAAGCGCTCTCTTTTTTCGCTTCCGGGTAAGCTTACCTCAGGAATAACTTTCCAATAAATATAAAATCTTCAGATAATCTACACACATTTAAGAGAAGGCCGTACCTTTATCTGAATACTGAATGGATTAAACTTTTATTTTCCTCATCCTTCCCGGGCAACTTTCTCTGTGAAACCGAGAAAGGGCCACCGGGAATTTAGGACGCCGCCATTAAATTTCCGTATCCGCTCGCACTTCCTTTTTTGTCTGTAGTATCGCTTCCTAGGATCCCTCATCAGAAATGTTATTTATTTCGATTTTTCAGCTTACGCATTGTGCCCCTCTCAAAATGCACTCTATTGACGTTCTTGGTGGAACCCTCTGTATCCGCCATACACTAGTAATCTGGTCTCATCTCCCTTGCCCCCTCCTCGGCTGAACTCGGCTAAATTTAACCGATCGCATCTGGGTTCCTATCGCCTCAAGACCGGTTTTCAATTCGCCACTTTGACATGAATGGCCTCATCCGGTATATGAATTCTGCCTTGATGATGCCTTTTCGAGCCTTTTACTCAAGGCCACATACAGGCCACTCCTGCCCGACCGGCCTGCTTAACCCTTCATGAAATCAGTTATAGACTGTCACATACAGGGCGGTCCTGCCTGTTTTCTATACACTCAAGAGCAACGTTTTTCCCTCCTATATGGTTAATCAAATCATACTCATTTAGTATATATGTTAGGAGTTTTTTCACCGCTCTACCATCATTTTTAGTAACATACTACTCATCCAATAACTATGCATTAAGGTATTGTCTGGATTCTGTATACCTGCTCTAAAATTCTAAAATACATGTAAAAATTATTCTTGCTTGCTATGAACGGACTCACACGGGTCTTGGATGAAAATTATTATCATTATTATGGTCCTCGCATTTCGCTATGTTTGGCAAATCTGGATCATACAGAGTCCGTCTGCACCAAAACAAGTCAGCGATCGTCAGGACCAAAAAAAACTATAGGCAGTAATCGTATGAACTTACGTACGTAAAAAAGAACGATAGCATCTTGCCGTTCGCATGTGTAGAAAGCTTTAATGCAAGTAATCATGTGGGTCAGCCAAATAAAGACGTTACGACGTATATCACGGACGTGAGAAACTTAGTAGCAGACCTGCATACAGCCATAACGGCAGTCCCAGATTCTAAGGTTCAATCTACCACCAACAAAAGAGGACAAGATACGGCCGCCAGTTTTTTTCCCTGAGTGACCACGTTGTGTGGTGGTGCAAGGAGTTCCTGAAGCTCCTAGTAGCACCCCGAAAGAGAGGGTAAAACACGATCTGCTGACATCCCAAAACTTACTAGATGACACCCAAGAACCCGGTGAGATCGTCGAAATCCAAAAGATCATCCGTTTGGGGCCTTTAGTTAGAGACAACGCAGAGGAAGTACGACCGATACCGCTAAAAGTCATAATGGGAAACGAACAGCGAACAGATCTCATATTGTCACGAAAGTCCAGGCTTCGAACAACCATCGCAGGGGCTTTTTCAGCCGGAATATCATCCAATCTAACGTATAAAAGAGAAGACGCTGGTGACGGAACTAAGAAAACGCCAGAGCGAGGGCGGAGTGTACCTGAAAATAATGAACTACCAAATTGTGAAAATACAGCGTTCTTTCTTGTGGAATCATCCGGTGACATTAACGATACAAATATCGGTGTTCAGTTCCAACAAACGTCAGCGGATTCAAAATCGATTAATGGGCTTGGTACGCTAAGTGAAATATTCAGTAGTGACAGTTCGATCATCGATTTCGATAATGTCCACCGTGTTCCCCAGAGCAGCAGCGGTGGAAGCAGGGACGGTGACTTGCGCCGGGGTTTATATTGCCGGTAGACTTGCGCTGCATCTGCCTACACTCTCTCCTCCTCCCTCGCCAAAGCCTGGTGTCAAGACAGAGTCAAGAAGACCGGAGACGGGGGAGGCCGCAGGTGGATGGCTCGGACGGATCCTCACCTTGGCGTTCAACCACACCCCCTGGTCTACACAACAAATAACCAGGATTTCAACCAACAACAGAGATTTGGAGGCTGGCACGGCCGAAGCCGCACCCAGGCGTGCCGCCAACGCCTGGCTCGGATCCCACACAGTGGGAGTGCCATGAAGGCCACATTAAGAAGGAGCCATTGCAGGCTGACTCTCAGACCTCCAGTCAAGGAGGTCCAAGTTATCCCGTCAGTTGGCAACCTTCCAAGCCACGGCTTTTAGCGCACCGTGATAGCTTCAAGCGCGTCAGATTGTTTATAGTGAGGAGAAAGTGCGCTGAGTCGTCGACCTCACTATCCCTTCCCATCACCACACCCCAAACGCTGTCCGAGCCGGTCAGCAGACTGGAGTGGGAAATGGGGGCGGTGGCTGGCATGGTCGACTGACCATGACTGCGCGCTCCACTTGCACGACCTGGCCCCCCATACACACACACACACACACACACACACACACACACACACACACACACCAGGATTTCGCACAACGGGGGTTGAACGGCGTGTCTCTCACTTGTGTGAGAGGACCGTGGTAGGTGCTGTTTCGGCCCGTCCTCAGCCCACCAGTCCGCCACTCCACACAACACACACAACGGGACGAAACGCGTGGACTGAGTGGGGGCGTCAATCCGTGACCTTCCTATCCACGACGGTTGACGTGTTGGGATAGTCTCGGACTCAGGTCACCCGTGCAGCCGAAGCCGCATGGGGACCGAGTCGAGATGCACACTTCCCACCTGCGTGGGAAGTTGTAGTTATGTGCTTGCGGTGTGTGAATGTTGGTGTGTGGTGGTGGTGGTGGTGGTGGCGGTGGCGGCGGCGGCGGCGGCGGCGGTGGTGGTGGTGGTGGTGGTGGAGGCAGGGTGTTATGGTGTGGCGGTTGTCTACCGCAGGTCGTCGTGGATGCGCATGTGGCCGAGTAGGCCCATGCGCTGCGTGAAAGTGCGAGGGCAGTGTGGGCAATGGAGGCGAGCTTGGTGGGTATATGTTGGTGCTCCAGGCACTGGTTCGCCAGTCTCCGTGCGATGAATTCGCAAGTGACCGACCAGCCCGTGGCGAGAGGTGAATGTGCGTGGACAGTGTGGGCAGGCGAAGTCGGTGGTGTCGGTGTCAGTTGCGATAACGGTGATGGGCGCAAAGGGTGATGAAGTGGGGATGGGGTTTGGCGTGGTGGGTGAGTCGGGAGGGCGGTCAATTCCGTTCTCGTGGATGCACACGTGGCCGAATAGGCCAATGCGATGCGTGAAAGTGCGAGGGCAGTGTGGGCAGGGGAGGCGATTGCGGTGGGTGTAGGTTGGTGCTCCTGGCACTGGTTCGCCAGTCTCTGGACGATGGATTCGCAAGTGACTGACCAGGCCGATGCGTGTGGTGAAGGTACGGTTGCAGTGAGGGCAGATGTAGTCCTGATCCTCACCCCTGGAGTCGGATGTTGGAGGGATGGTGTCTGTTGTTGTGTCATGGATGTGTGTGGTGCTGGTGTGAACGACGGCCACCAGAGCGGCCGTGGTTGGTGCAGTTGGGCAGGAGGAGGAGGAGGAAGAGGCGAG